TTTTCAAAGAGAAAGAGAAACAGATATTACCAATGACATTTTATTCATCTTAAATTGGTAAGAAGATAAATTGTAGTATTGATTTTTACCTGTCATTCTTTATTCATGAGAAATTCTTAAGGATGTTCTTTCCTTAGTTTTGTTGCAGACTGTATGAGAGAGAATCAGTGAATCTCTCTGTTCACTGATTCGGCGCCAAAAAAATATTTCTGCCTTTTTTCTTTAAGCCAACTTGATTTTGACTTCCAGCCCACGTACCACCAAGCTATAGGAAATTCCATCTCAGCCATTACTGGGCATTCCTCCTCTCTCAGTTTGCACCACAATTAGGGCCTTTGATTGCCAGTCTCCAATGATGACCAGGGACAGTGACATTATCTAAGCATTCAATGAACCTCAGTGGTTCTTGGCTTCCCTGACTGTCTTGGGGACACAGGGCTCATTGATAAAACTTAGTAGAAGCCAGCTAATGGCCCAGACTCCTGTGCATCAGGCAGACATTCCCTTCAAAATCCATGTGGTTCTTGGCTTCAGGAATGGAATGTGTACCTGCGCTAATCCTATCAAAGCAGTCGAGTCTACTGATTGACTCAGTGGTGAGCATGTGACCTAAGATGCTCAGAATGCCAGGACAAAGGCTGTTTCTTTCAATGATGCGTTTTGCAGATGATGTACCTGGAATCTCTGTGGTCATCTTGTGATTATGAAATAGCCAACATGTAGAAGGAAGGACAATGCTGAGGATCCAACAGCACGGCAGCTGGATCCTATGACGTGATCAGTCCCCACGCATTGCAGTTACACGGACCAAATAAACCTCTTGATCTTCAAATGAGTCAGGATTTTTTTTTCTTGAACTCCAAAGACCCCTGATGGAATGTAGAACACGGAAGTGAGGGTGATGTAAGTTGCAGAATCTAGATTGTTGAATAGGTGATGGGGCGGTGAAGTCAGCAGCCCTTGTTACATTTCCTGCTGCATCCAGGGACTCAGAAAATGCCTACCAAGGCTCTCACATCAGGGAATTGTCAGGAAAGATGCAAAACTTTGGTGTCCTTGAGCTTAATCAGGTCCTGCATGAGAAAGGTAAAATAGTGCAAATTTTTTGTGAGAGTCGTCCAGATATATTTTCAAATCTAGAAAATACTACTGCTCCGAGGGGTCCATCTACTGAAGCAATGTGTTTTAATGCATCAGGAAAAGAGTGACTTTTAGCTGAAAAAAGGAAGTCAGTATTATCTGAGTCACTAGTGAGCAGAGTCCCCAAAACCAGGCGGTGTGGAGAAAGAAAAATATTCTTAAAATCCCTTAGGTTCCCACTTTATAAAAGAAAACTAGGCCTAGGTGACTAAAATTTGGAGTTTCCTGTAAATTAAGTTTCCTGTAAATTAAGGGAAGTGGGGAAGCAGTTTTGATGCAAACAAAGTTCTTGTCCTGCAAGAATATGGAAAATTCTGACCTCCTGGCCTCAGTGGACTGTGAGGAGAAGTGTTAGAATGAAAACATCAGGCACAAAATTTGAACCTCATGGACTGTGGAGCAATAGGAACTTCCAGCATGGGTGGGGGAGAGTAGTCAATGCTTGTAATCTGCTTTCCCTGTAGGCATCTGCAAGCCTTTGGGATGCACATTAACATGGATGCTCATCCAGATGCTCATTAACATGGTACAAACGTCGAGAGCAGAGTACAGTTGTGCTGGATGAGCACTGCTCAAGCCATCCATGCCTACGGGGCACCATTCACGTCGAGGGCCCATAGATTTGTACATTCACCACAGCAGTTTCGGTGTAGATGGCAGCAAAGTGTTCTAACAAAACCAGCATGACAATTACCTGGAAGGACAGTGTCTTAAGGAAGATACATCTTTTTCAAATTTGCCCAGAAATTTATGTGAGCCACTTATCCCTGCCTCTCTCCTGCAACCACAAGGCCCTGTAAGCCTCTCCCACCCCAGAGTATCATGGGAGGAGCTAGGAGAGATGGAGTACAGCTGAAAGGTTGAGCATTTAGTACCCCAAAGTAGCTGAGTTACCCCAATGATGCAGTTTAACCAGGAAGAGATGGAGATATTTTTAACTCAGGAGTGAAATGATATTTTTATACCCTGCTATCTAGCAGGTGGGTGACTCAAGAGAAAGAACAGAGAAGGAACAGGAAATAAAGATACATTTTTACAGGCACAATTGAATCATACTGTGATCGTTGTGTATATATATATATATATATATATATATATATATATATATATATCCAAATCTTTAAGCCTTAACTGGAGGTGGCCTGCCAGAACAGAGACAGAAGAAAACATCCCTTGTTTTAAAATAATCCTGTCTACCTGTGGCCTGCAAGCCAGGTTGACTACAGGTCCAGTCACTAGTGAAATTTTTCTTGAACTTTAATATTTATAAGAGGCTGAGTTTAAAAGATTCCTTTTCAGTAGATCTGAGGTAGACGTGGAGATCCTGCATTTCTAACAAATTCCCAGGTAACACCAAGTTTCTCAGGCCCGGGGTCGAGGGGGTTGAGTTTCACGATTTCAGAGTCAAGAGCAGTGATTCCCAGGCTTTCACGTGCAGCAGAATCATCTGGGAGGCTTCAAAGCAGAGTGTTGGGCCCCTGCAATATTGTAAGTTATAATAAGAAATGCATTTTTGGTCTTCATCCCCATTTCTGACACAGAGTTCCTAAAATCCTTGTTACTTCCTAAGGCTAAAAGTACTAGGGGCATCTCTTGGTCTAATATTTGGACTTTTACTGTGTCCCTGACACAAAATTCCCAAAACTCTTGTAATGACGTGGGTGGTAAGAGTGTCTTTGTTTTAATGAGGTGACTGGGTGGGTTCCTGGATGGCTCCGGGGTGAGGACTGGATTGAGCAGATCTATGATCAGATTAGAATTGTCAGTCCCACCCACCATCCTCCAAAGAGGGGAGAAGGGCTGAAAATGGAGTTAGCAATAATTGATCATGGCTACTTGAGGAAGCCTTCATAAAATTCCAGAAGCATAGGTTTCAGAGCGTTCTTGGGTTGGTGCGTACATCCACATCGGGAGGGGGACACACCCTAACACAGGGACACACACTCCAGCCAACTGACACCCTCCTCAGAGAGCTGCACTAGGACCAGCGTGGAGACCAGGAGAATGAAGTTGCCTTTCCACCCAGGAGCCATCCTGTCCATACCTAAGATATCTGTCCCAAGAGAATATAGGAATCTTGAATTTGCGTATTGAAAAGATACTAAAAGAATCTTTAAAATAAAAAAGACTAAATAAATAAATAAAATTTAAAAAGACTGTGTAAGTCAGCAAGGACTGACATCCCTTCCATGTGAAATCCAAGGGTTTTTTCTCACCATGAGTGGGAGTGAGGTTTTCAGGGCAAGACGATAATAGTTTCTTTCCCACATGCAAATGCTGTAGGAAAAAATGGGACCTCATTACTCAACAAACATTCAGCAAGCATTTGACAAGGTCATGCTGTCACGTTCGTTTTACATGAGCACTGTTTATGTGCACAGAACTTTCACCTACAGGAAAACAAGAGCAGAAAGCAGAGCTGCTGTGAATGGGCCAGAAACTGGGTGCAGGAAGAATGGGTGCACAAAACACTCTTCAAAAACTCTCCTTCCTCTTTACTTCAATTTCTCTGTTTCTCAGGCATGTATCTGATCAAAAGAAATCAGTCCCTTCCAAGGAGATCACTCATAAAGACAGAATGTTAATAATCGTGATATCTACCACATCTCACTTATAGCAGGCATTAAATATTTACTTGGTCAGGGATGTGCTGATTAGATTGGAAGAGAAATATCATGACTGATATCTCTGTACTTGGTGGATGGAATTGAAATGGGGAAGATCAGATGAGCTCTCCCGGGAATGTCCGTGGGGCCAGTAAGGACTGGGTACGGCTCTTCTCTGCGGGAGCCTTCACTGGGTGGAGAGCAGGTCTCCTGTCCGCTATCCCCGGTGTGCTGGGGGCAGACAGTGAGCGCGCTGTTGCATGACTGTCCTCTTAGATCCAGCTGAGAAGGAAGATTGGCCACTGCTCCTCCTTTTCCATATTCAGCTCTAGAAGGGCATTTGAAGAACATCGAGCAAAAAATCCCCCTATAATAATAGGTAAGGAATCGGAGCCCAGAGAGGGAAAAAAATTTACTAAAGGTCATACAACTTCTAAATGACAGAGACTGGAATAACTTTTAAGTCTCCCAGGTCAGGAGTTTTTCTTCTGCTGCAGACTCATCCGAATGCAAGTGATTAATCAAACTGTCAGAGGGAAAAATTCTGGTACGGCTGAGTTAAAATGCTCAACTCGCGGTGCCAGAAGACATTTTAGCCGTCTTCTTGTTCCATCTTTTGTTATTTTGGCTTCACTATTTTTACTTTATTTATTTATTTACTTACCTACTTGCTTATTTACTTATTTATTTTTGCTGGCATGTCAAGGATCATTATCAACACCTCCAGGCTTAGTTTCCACTACTTAGAAAATCCAATAAGATGAGGGAGTTTCTTTGCTGACTTTTCTGGTGTAAGTTGTAATTCTGGTTCGCCTGCCCACGTTCCCCACATGAAACTGACCGCTGCCGTTCGAGGTGGTCAGTCTCAGATCTCGCCCAGACCACACCCGCTCCTGGAGGGTGGGGCGGTCAAACCCCAGCCATGAGACTGAAGGAAGAGAGAGATGGTGGCTTCTCCAAGGACCATCAGAATGTTGTGACCAGAGGAGGGGAAGAGTCTGTTTTTAGGACTGCATCCTTCTAGGCCCGTGACACCAGACATGCCCCTTGTATTACTCTTAATTGAAAGGGATGTTAGTTTACTTAACTTTATATAAGGGGAGAGGTTAGAAGAGTTCTTTGCATAGAGCACAGACACCACTCTGGAGAGGGCAGCTGGACTCAAGCTGAGACCTTTAGTACTGATCTGGCTTCAACATAGGAAAGAAAAAAATACTCAAAATTTCCTCACTCCCTCTCCCCAATTTTCTGCAGGAGTTTTCTCCGGGATGAACCACAGGGAAGCCAGATAGAGGGATCCCATTGTCACGGTTCCTAAGGCACAGAACTGGATGGAGGAGGTTGAAGAGGACGTCCGGAGGAGGAGTAGACAGGTGTTCCATTTCTCAGTGATATTTACACTCGACTCATGAGTCAAATCAGGGAAATATCCATGAGATGTCTGATCATATGCCCTTGTCTACATTCCTGCACTGTAATGTTGCCTGCTAAACATTCATAATAAAAACCCACAGAGACACTAGGGATTGAGCATCCGTGACAAGAGTATCAGTGAGGTTCGCTGGTGCTTCTCCTTGGCTTTGGGTCATGAGATTTGTTCCAGTTTTTGTTCCTTTTTCCTTATCTGTGGGACCTTGAACAACTCACTTAACCTTTCAGAGACTGAGTTTTCTCTTCTTTAATATAAAGGTATTTTCCCTGCCTTTTTAATGCTGTCTCTTATTCAGCACAAATGAAATACCGGATATGGAAGTGTTCAACAGTGATAAAGTACTACTCGAATATTGATCACTTCAACCTTCATATGTGGGCATAAGAAATATATTAAGATGTTTTATTTATGGGTAAGAATTTTAATAATTTGTCACCAGAAAAAGTTCTAAAGCCCAGTCGACTCATTCCGTACGTGGCAGTATTTTTTGCGATGTCAGAGTTTAAATGAATTAATGATAAATTAACCTCCAGTTTACTCCAGGCTTGCATTAAGGAAATGATTTTCTGTGATTCTGTTTAATGCTGAAAAAAATTCATCAAGCTTTCTGCTGGCCACTGAGACACTGTGCTTATTATCTGTTTATGAGCAGGCAGAAGCGCAGAGTCTCCCTGCATGTCCCAGTGAGTTATGAAAGTCCTTTACGAGCACGGCATTAGCCATGGATCTTCCTGCTATCTCCTCCCCGCAGTGTGCTGAGGATATTTTCCATAATATAACTGGGCTTGTCACAATTCATTTCTGCACGGCTGATTCCTAGGATGATTGCCTAGATCTCTAAAGCCCGGGTTGGAAGCTGTGGCCAGATAACAAACAAGTTTACAAAAAATAGCCACCTTCCCCTCAGCCCCTCACACCTCCCTTTTTTCCTCACCCCCAGCCCTCTCTAAATATTGTGGTTCTTAAGAATTTTTTGATCACATTCCCATATTGTCCCAGTTCCTTGGGAGCTCATCAGTGATAGCTGTCATGAGTACTTTGAGAGTAGACTCTGCGTTGAGAACTGGACATCCAATATTTTACTAATTTCGACAACAATCTTTTGAAGTAGATGTGAGCGTCTGGAAAGACTGAAGCTTAGAAAGGCTAAAAACAGAACAAGAAACCCAAATGTCTGGGTCAAAAGCCTGCGACCACAACCCCCAGGCTATCTAGTCTGGCATTACTGCGTTGTTCCAGCTTATTTTCTGTCTCCCTTACACTGAAGCCTGACTGACTGTCAGTAAGAAATGGTCTTACTCAGTTAAAAATGCAGAGGGAGTTTTGCTGCTCCAGTTTCAGGAGATACATATGTACATGTTGCAGACACAATGTAGATACTTCACTGGGAAGATGGTCACTGTCCCCTGAGGACTCCACGTTAACCACTGAGAAGGGAACCATAGTATCAGTTCTCTGTCAGTCACTATGAAGTCGAAAGTCTAGTTATTCTGATATCACGCACAACTCGAGCCACCAGTCAGCTAAATCGTTAAGACAGTGTGTTCAGCTTTGCAATTGTTATTATGATAAAAATCAATATATAGAACGTAATTAAATTTTTTCCTAAATTATGACTATAAGGGTTAGTCCTGTTGATAAAAAAAAACTTTACCCCGCTAAAGCCCCCAGTTTCATGCCATTCATATTCCATTTCATTTCACTTCTTAAGTGCATAGAAGTGTATGAGAAAAAAAATGCGTACTCATCTTTTTTAAGTGATATTCTAAGTAACAGTGAACAATGTAATAGGAATAAAAGAAAAGCACTGCATTTATTTATTAATTCTTTCAATAATTATGTCCAATGGCTAATTTTTGGTAGGTGCCAGAAACATTAGGCAGCTTGTAGTCTGATCGGGGGTCCAGGGACAAGCAATAGTGAGTGTGAGGGAGTAGTGTGTGTTAAGTAAGAGTTAAGAAGGGTGGGCGTGCATGGTCACTGCTTGCCCAGTCTCAGAGGGTCCAGATTCCTGCAGGAGAACTCACTGTCTCCTCTGAAATCAAAGGGCTGAGCAGGCATTAGTCAAGCAGGGGAGGGTATCTCGGGTTGGGAGGCAGCGCATTCAAAGGCCCGGCTCCGTTTTAAGGAAATGAGAGTAGTTCAGTGTTGTTGAGCTGACTCTGGGGGAGGCTGTGGCAAAAAATAGAAGGTGGGAAGCAGAAGTTAAATCTTAGAGACTCTCTTAGCTAAGGTAAATAATTTGGACTTCTTTTTTGAGGTCAATAAGTAACCAAGAAAAAGACTTCAGCATATGACTGACACAATCAAATTTGTGTTTTAGGAAGATTACCTGGTTTTCAGTGTCCAAGAGGACACTGGTCTAGGTTGATGACCTTCAGCTCTGAGGAATCGGAGCCCTTATTTGCCTTGTCTCTGTTGGGCCATAGTTGATGCAATCCCATATTCAATTAAGTATCAGTTCCTATGAGGACAAAGTTCTGTGCCCCCCAGTGGAAGATGTCCATTGTAATTAACCTGCTACCAAAGGGCTGGCTGATCTCCTCGGTCTCTGCTGATGGCAGGTTGGACAGTCAAGTGCCGCACCGACTGGATCGGAGAATTCGCATGCAAGCCTCTGTCTCTGGCACACGACTACTCTTTCCATTCTCCAGCACAGAGGCAATCAATGAGAAAGACCGGCTGAGATGAGAACAAGCCATCCTTTCCCACTGGTTTCTGAGAGACCCTTCTGTGGTAGACGTTCTCTGGTGGGCAAGCAAAGCTGCACACTTCTGCTGTCTCCTGCAGGCCAGTCTACAGCCTCTTCCCCAGACTGGCTCGTCCCTAGTTTTCCAATCCTGTTGCTTCCAGACTGTAGACCAGTCGTCCATATAAAATCTCCCGCTGGGTAATTTCCTATCTCTTCCTTGACCAACGGACAGGGCTGAGATACAGTTAGTATGTTTTCTCAGGGGTGGACCCACAAAACTGAATAATCAGCCACATTTAGTGGCAGGCTGATTGCTAACAAATCCTCATACTGTCTCTCCTCACATCCCTTCTACTTTCTCCTTACCCTTCATTCCTGCTCTCTGGGATTATACTGTGCTTTAAGCTGTACTACCAAAGGAGCTCAGGCTAAAATGGCTGGTATCGGGAATGGCCCTAGAGGTCAAAGTATCAGGATGGGATTTTTAAAGCTATATTACTAGTGGTAGTTACTAGTGTCCTGCTTTGGGTGGGTGCATAGAAGCTGACTGAATATTCATCCCAGCTTGGAAAGGTTTAACTGTAACATCCCACTAATGGCAGCTGTAAAGAAAGAGTGCCCAAGTGTTCCAGACTTACATCCTCATTCTCATAAGCTTGGCATTCAATGGGCAGGAGCAGACACATTACTATGTTGTCACACTTTTCTGAGCCTCTAAAAAGAAAGCTGTCTCTGAAGAGCTGTGGGTGAACAAATAGGTAACTGACCAGGTATGGTGGGTGATCAGGTACATTAGTTCACTGTGGAATAGTTCAGCACTTCTCCTTTTTGATGACTTGGTAACCGAGGGCATTTTCTACCTTCACCGATTCCATGTTGTAAACCAGTAAAACTGCATTGATGTGTATAAGTGAATCGCCTGAGTGCTTAAAAGATTGATGTGTGGACTCCAGCATTTAAGTGGGAGTCTCTAAAAATAGAGCCCAGATAGCTGTATTTTAAAAGCTCCTCTTGTGGTTGTGATGTAAATCCAGGGCTGATTATGCCACTAAGACCAAAAGAGAGAGGAAGGGGGAGGGGAACTTACATTCATTGAACAAACACTAATATTGGCATCTTCATATATGTTGTTTCAATAACAATAATATGGACAGATGTTATCAGAATTCTTCTTGGAAGAACATTCCATTAGTTTAGTAGAAACATTTTGATAAGTATTTGATGCTTGGAGTAAAAGGCAAGTTCTTCCCAGGGCACGCACAAAACAAAGTAGCTTCCAAAACTACATGCATATGACAAGAAAAGAAATTAGATGGCCTTTGAGAGAATGGAGAAGAGAACGCAAAGAAGAGGGATAGAAAAGGAGAAAGGGCAAAGCAGCCTTCTGTGAGCCTCCAAATCTTCCAGGGACTGGACTCCCAAGGCATGGGGTGAGGATATCTTGTTGACACAGGGGAACTGCGTGCTAAGGCTTCTGCCCAGGTGACTTGGTGAGTGTGAAAGTGGGAGACACAGGTTCAGGTACATTGTTGCTGAGGCCTGGGTATCAACAGTGGTGATGGCTAATACTGATTGGGAGTAATTCAGACATTCGGGAGTTGGAAAAATAAGTTGAAATTTATTCGTACATTGCAACAAAAGAGAATCTGCTGAAGTCAGTAGGTCACCTTGGGAAGGGATCACAGCCAGAGCTATATTTATGAGGCTCCACAGAGAAAAAATTGTGACCAAAAATGCTCCCCTCATCCCCGGTGTTAAGCTCCTGGAGAGTAACCATGAATGAATACTCCCCAAAGGGTGTTCTGTGCAACTTGAGTCCTGAGAATGTTAACTGAAAAAATTAACAAGTGTTTCATGGTCAAAGAAGTTTGGCAAATGGGTTAAATGAGAGGACTTCCAAAGGCTTCAGTATGCTAAACAGGCATGGTGACCCTCCCCAGGGTGGAGACAGATGCAGACCCCTGCATGTTCATGGACTACCACAAAGACCCAAATTCCTTGACTCATTTTAGGAAACACTACAGTAGTTGCCCCTGATCTGACACCTCACTTTCTAAGGTTTCCATTACACTTGGTCAACTATGGGCCAAAAATAATAAATGGAGAATTACAGAAATAAGCATTTCATATAGTTTGAATTCCACGCCATTCTGAGTATCAGTTTGAAATCTCGCACCTTCCCACTCTATTCCGCCCAGGAGGTGAATCATTCCTTCGTCCAGCATCACCACACCGTGCACACTCTCCAC